TCAAACACCCCAACCTCCTTTATTACTACCTTACAGCCATATTCTCCATCTCTCCGTAATACTACCCTCCTCAACAACACCCGCTTCCACACGCCCACGTCTTTCTACCACCACCAACCCTACAAATATCTTAACTACTCTATTTACCCGACGCGATCGCTCCCGTCTCGTAACAGTCAGATCTGAAGCTGAAGGTATAGCATTATCAAAACTAACTGATCTCTCTGGCAACCCCATCCCTTCAGAACTTCGTTCAGATTGTGGAGAAGACTTGCTCGGCTGCCTCAGAGACCAGGACGTGATGTCAGTACATTGCTACTCCATTCTTCCTAGAGGTCATCGAGAGAAACCCACCAACATTGCCAAAGTTACTTTCCGTACACATGACTTTCCATTATCTACATTGGTGGAGAATCCCTCCCTGTTCAACCATACCAACCTCCCCATCAATGTCAAAATTGTTAGCAATTTGGACATCCTGTCAAACACTGTCGCTCCACAGCCCGATGCCCTCTATGTGTCCAACCCGGCCATAACCGATCAAACTGCTGTGCACAAACACGTACCTGCTAACTGCGGCGGCCCCCATAATGTATTTTATAGAGGCTGTCCCACTTGCAAGTTCGAGTCTGAGGAAGCAGCTCTCAGATACAAAGATGGTCCCTATACCCTCCCCTATGCCTACCTACTTCCCCACTTCCACTTCTACATTCTACCTCCCCCTGTCAAATTCTTTTGCCACTCTAAATCCAGACACCCCAATCTCAACTACAGCCCCAACACCACCCCCTCTCCCTCTCCGCACTACCCGCAGTAGACAGACGAAACGTTCCACCCCTTCTTCCCCTACAGCACACTCACCTCCGCCTACCTTTACCTCTACCTTTACTCCTCAGACTTTGTCCCGCAAAACTCTCCAACCAACTCCACTGCAGAAACTATGGAAGATATGCTTGAGACACAGAATTCCATAACTCATACTCCCTCCACACTTGAAGTGATAACCATACCCCTCCTACTCATATTCCCCCTAAACCCCTTCCTCCTACTCCCTCTCCTACAACCTAACCCCCTCAATTCCGTCTACCACCGATATCCATCCTCCTGAAATCCATCCCCCTCTTACTCATAGCACCCCTACACCCCTTCCTCCTAATCCCTCCCAAGACAACACATCCCCTTCAACTCCAACTCTCCAGCCTTCCGATATCCATCCTTCTACCACTAATATTCCCTCACATCACTTCCTCCCACTCCCTCCCAACACAACCCACCCCCTTCAACTCCAACTATACGCACATTTTCCTCCCTCCATCCCCTCTATCCTTTCTTCTCCCTCCCGGATACACACGTGAATCGCTCATGTCATAGCAATGCCCTTCCCCAGATTCCCTACCTCCTGATATCCCTCCTTTACACCCCTAGCCCCCCCCCCCCCAACATTGTCTCTCCACAGCCCGATGCCCTCTATGTGCCCAACCTAGTCATGACTGTCCAAATTGCCCTGCTCAGTCACGTACATGTGCCAATTGTGGAGACTCCCATAATGTGTTTTATAGGAGCTGCCCTGCCTATAAGTTTGAATGTGAGGTAGCAGTCCTCAGATTTAAACTAGGCCTCACTCTACGAGAGGCCAGACAGGAAGCACGAGCGAGGTTTTTCTCTCTCAACTTATTCCAAAACAGTCCTGCGCTCTGCTCCCTCACCATACACAAGATATTTCTGCATCCCAGGTATCTTTTCCCAATACCAAAACCTATCCTATGTCTACTCACCCTATCCACCAGTCAAATCCATTTTCCATCCTAAATCCAGATACTCCAATCTCTACCACTTCCCGGATACCTACCCTCCTCCTCACTTTAGTTGTCGTACCAGACAACCTAAGCGTTCCACTCCACACTCTCCTACTACATTCTCTCCTACACTTCCTCTTCATCTGTTCCTCAGATATCCATCTCTTCTCCTCCTTATAAGAGAACCTTTTTTCTCAGTCCTCTATACCAAATTCCCCTTCAGAAACCCTTGAAGACATCCGAAACTTCCTAAAGATGACCCAAGGGAACACACCGCTCCCTCATCCACCCCCAGTCCCTCTGTTCCTACTTGCTACATTTAAAGTATTTGCAGATATTCATCCTCCTCCTTCCAAGTCCTCCACCCTTCCTCCTACACCCTCCCAACATACCCACCCTCTCTACCACTTGAATACTCACGAATCCTCTCTATCACAACAGTGTCCTTCTCCAGACCCCTCCTCTCCAAACATTTTCCTAGTGTGCTTCACCACCTTCCCCAGTCTCTCTTTCTCAACCCTGGATTTTCTCCTCCTAGTTCTCCAACAGCCACCTCTTTTCCTTGATCAGTGTCCCTACTCCTTCCCAGTCACAGATACACTGCAATTCACTCACTTGCTCTGCCCCCTTATGTTCCCCCAACCCCTTCCCAAGATGCCTCATCCTCTCAACCACCCAACGCCCATACCACCCAAACTGAACCTCCCCCAAAACCCCATCCTTTCCATACTATCCCCTCCCATTCCCTCCTGGATATACACGTGAATTTCTTTTATCACAATATCCTTCCCCCAGACTCCACTGTCCCTATGAACCCCAGACACTACTCCTTCACCAATTCCTGATCCTTTTGTCTCAACCCCAGATACCTAATCCCCTACTACTAATACAAACCATATATAACATTACCACCTATTATCCCTATTCCTTCCCCAGTCACAGATACAAAACAATTCATTTAATCAATCTGCCTCCTTAACCTTTCCCATTTATTAATCACTGCTCTACTTCATTTACTTCCCTCCCTTCCCCTTTTCATTACCATACTTTCCTGTAACAACCTCTAATCTTTGATATTTAACACCATCCCCTATCCCCAGATTTTTCTCTTACTCTCTCAACAGCTATCTCTATTCTTACTTGAACATTTTCCTATACCTTCTCCAGTGACAGATACACTATAATTCACTCAATCGCCCTCCCCTCCCCTTTATACTAACTTCTGCTCTAGCTCACTTGCTCCCCTGTCCCTTTTTCACTACCATATTATCATATAACGTTCTTAAACCTTTGACATCTAACACATTTTATCATAATCTTTAACTCTCCTTTGCCCTTTCTGATGCAATACTTTGCCATAGTGCTATATGACCTAAGATGTCTAGCACATTTATTTTCAAACATTAACATTAAACATTGGGATGAGGAAGGATATGTCTTATGTTATGATCCATCAGTCAATAATTAAGCCCAAACTTCCTCAAAATTCAGTCTCTCTTCCCTCATTCTAAATCTCTATCTGAACTTCTTTCCTGTTACCCCTTCTCTCCTCCATATATATTTCTTTTATTGTCAAGACCCCTCCAATCCCATGCCCTTTGTTGTTGTGGGGGGATTTGGAGACAGGGACTGTGGCCCTTGTAGAGGTTCACCCTGTCTTGGACCTCAGCCCACAACTAATTTTGTATGGTCTCTTTTCTACCTCTCATTTTACTTCTGTTCATCCCCTTCTGTCCTCATTCTAAAGTGTGAGAGCTATGCTGAAAGGATGGAAATCTGGCATTGCGTCAGTCCTGAATGGCCTTCATACTCTGTTTGCTATTCGCTCTTTACCATTTTTACTATCATATTAATCTACAGTGATCTCTACAGCCTTTATGTAACATATTTTGTCCTAATTGTTAATTCCTCTTTTTACTTCTTTGCCACAATACTTTATTATAATGTTACATGACCTTTCCTTACCTGGGGCTTCATCCACAAGCCTCCCCAATTGTTATATTCTGTATAGACCCAAACGCCTTCGAAGCATCAGCGAGTAACAGGAACGAGTGGAGAAGAAAATTAAAGTGGGCATGGACCTCTTTGAAGAGGAAAGAAGAGCCAACCTGGTAGCTAAACGACAGCGACGTGCAGAAAGAACAAATCAACCACAGCCACTTCCCACGATTCAGTGCGATAAATGCCCATGATTATTCAGAGCACGAATTGGTCTTATGAGCCATAAGAAGGCTCACCACCCTAACAATAATTAACCTATGACCCCCTCCTCTATTCAACCTTTATTGGACTGAAAACTATGATATTCGGATACGAGTACATGCCGATGATGCCGCTTATGACCTTAGATATTGACAAGGCAGAAATTTTTCAATAAACAAAATAAATCATTGTCAGGGTTACTTTTCAGCTCTAAAATGTCTTCATGCTTTGTTATTCAAAGAATGTAGTCAAAATATTATAATGCTTTTTTTCTGTCATTTCCACTTTGGTTTCATATCTCTCAAGACAATAGAGGAGCATTACAGATTGTACAGTATTACTTACTAGGTGTAGATTTAAACATTTTGCTCAATAGATACCACAAAGTGAAGCCAGAATAGCAAATTCTAGAAATCTTTCATAACTTTTTTCCCAAAAAATCTTAATATATCATGTTTTCTTTTATATTTTCAGGTGATTCTCTAAATCTTTGTATTGTTTTATCTAATAGAATTGTGTGTGTATCTTAATTGTACAAGATTTACTGTAAGAGTGAAATATTCATCTTTGAATATGGTTTAATATTCAGATATGACTATAAATGAGATCACGAGTTGCTATTAATGGCTTGTAGACTTGATCTGGCCCATCCTTTGGAATATCTTACCGTATCCAGCTTGTTGTATTACAAGCTGCATGTTTTTTTATAAAAATAATTGGAAGCAGCAGCTTTCCTTTTTCATTTAATTTCCTTTTATATATATCAAATGTAATGCTGGATTCAGTCAACACCAGAACTAGATCCTTCATCCATAGAATCATTACTGTGGCAAACAGGAACTCATGCATGGAATATTTTATTTGATTGTAAACAGTATATAGTAAAAACTACAAAAATACTTTTCAAGTCATATATTTTGAAAAAAATTCACATATATAAAAAATAGATAACATACATGTTCCATACAAATGCTCTTTACTATTGATAAGATTTTATATTTA